TGTTGAAGTTCTCAAGTTTATCGCTACACTTAAATTCGCACCAAACCTCAGCATAGCATTAAGAATCCTACTTACATTGCCAGTCACTGTGGCTTCAGGAGAAAGAAGCTTTTCAAAACTAAAAATAATAAAAAATTATCTCAGAACGATGCAGACGCAAAATCGTCTCAATGGATTGGCAATGAGCTATAGAACACCAAAATAGTGACAAATTAGACTTGAAATCACTGGTTCGTGAGTTTGCCGAAAGAAAAGTTAGAAAAAGGGCATTTTAATTACTTTGGTTACTTAGAAATTATTTATAATATGGGATATTAGTTTAGTTAGCATTACTACATTTTAATTTTTGTTATTTTGCCTTGAGTGCTAAGTTGCTTATCTTGTTATCTGATAATTGAGTTTTTAATAAAACGTTTTTTTTATTTTTTTCTTCAATGGTTTCTTGCAGTATAGAATAATTAACTAATAAAATATTTTAACTTTATTACCGCATCCTTTAAATATTATTAACTATCAACATTTTACGAGTTATATTTGACCAATCATCATATTTTGATGTCAGGATTCGACCATTCATTCATTCATTATTATGTTAAAATAGAAAAATAGCATTATTCTTAGTTTCTTAGTTTTTAATCCAACCAAATGAATAATAAAATGTTAACTTTCTAGAACAATGAAACTCCGCAGTAGTCAATGAAAATTTAAATACTACATTTCATTAATTTTGTTTACTCTTCTTAAAGCACAATGACTAGCAGGGATTCCCGATAGGTATATTTAAATAGGATTGAAAACATATTCATTATTTCACTTTCTATATAAGCATAAAATGGATGAAGTCAACCAAGTACTGGAAAATCCAAAAACCTTAAAAGTGCCTCTTTGATACAGTCCAGGGCGTAATTCTAAACCCAAACGATAATAATTATTATTCTTTTATTTGGATGTGATTCAGAGAGAAAATAAATCGTATCTGATATAAATATTGAATTTCTTATAATAAGTCTTTTAATACAAAAATATATGTAATATCATTTGAACCCCCACTTCATTTGTATTAAATTTATTAAAATCAGTTATATTTTATTTATAATTTACATTTAATATTATGACAAATATATCTACTATATCTACTAATCTGATTATTTTTAAATTCTTGAAAAGATAATTAAAAATGACTTATTTGTTTTGGCGATTTGTAAATTAAAATGTTATTAGCTAAAATTTAAATAATAACTATTACGCAATCAAAAATTATATACAGAAAAATGACAAATAATGATTAAAATAATGAATTATTAAGATATAATAACTTTCTTTACTTCAAATTTAAAACAATTTTGTTCCCAACTAAAATTACTTGTATTTAGAACGTTAATGCACTACCTATTAATTAGACAACCAGAATTACTTTGTAACATATGTTGCCTAACTTATACTAATTAAAGCATAGCAGAGCATGCATGTCTACATTCTACAAATGTTCTGTAATGTCTACAACTCTACATGTCTCTTACATAACAATAATGAAGAAGTTATGAAGATATTGACGTTTAAGGATTTATTGTTCTTTTTCCTCCTCTTTAAATAACAAATTAGGTACCTAAATACTTTTGAGAGTTTGTTACCTTTTGCGAAAATTTAAATTTAATAGTTTGAGTAATATCCATAAAAACAGTAGTAATATCGGAATGCTTTTAGTTTTTTTCTAAATTGACTTTTTCTTTAAATATACTTAAATTAAGACAATAAGACCGACTTATTAGATTTTCACGCTAGTGATAAAACAATTTATTACCTTTTAATGATTATAAATGTTATTATACCATTCTCAATACCGTAATAACGATTGTATAACCTTATCAATACCTCTTAATTATTTAATACCCTTATCTATACTCTAATTACCATTTTATAACTTTCTTAATACCATTGTAATGATGATGTACACTTTTCAATATCCTAGTAACGATTTTATACCTTTATTAGTATCCCTTATCGATTTGTTACCCTTCTCAACACCCTAATACCGATTTTATACCCTTTTTAACACCTTAATACCCTATATATAACCATTCTATACCCGTATCAATACTTTTTAATTATCTGATACCCTTTTCTATACTTTAATTAGTATTTTATAATTTTCTCAATATCCCTTTCTCATTACCCCTTACCGATTTGATATCCTTCTCAACACTGTAGTAACGATTTTTTGCCCTTCTTAATCACCTAGAAACGGTATATTGCCCGTCTCAATACCCTATATAACCATTCTATACCCTTATCAATAATTTTTAATTATCTTTTCTATATTTTAATTAGGTAGTATTTTATAATTTTCTCAATACCATAGTAACGATTTTATACACTTCTCAATATATAGTAACGATTTTATACTCTTTTTATTACCCCATATCGATTTTTATCCCAATCTCAACACCCTAGTAACGATTTTATACCCTTTCCAACATCATAGAAATAATTTTATAACTTTAATTCTCCAATAAAAACTATTTTATTCCCTCTCAATACCTTAATAATAATTGTATACCCTTGCCAATGCTTCTTAACACTTTGATAACCTTCTCAACACCCTTGTAACGATTTTATCCCTTTCTCATTACCCCTTTACTAATTTGATATCCTTCTCAACACTGTAGTAACGATGTAATGCCCTTCTTAAACACCTAGAGACGGTATATTGACCGTCTCAATACCCTATATATAACCATTATATACCCTTATCAATACTTTTTAATTATCTGATACCCTTTTCTATACTTTAATTAGTTTTTTATAATTTTCTCAATACCATAGTAACGATTTTATACACTTCTCAATATATAGTAACGATTTTATACTCTTTTTATTACCCCATATCGATTTGATCCCAATCTCAACACCCTAGTAACGATTTTATACCCTTTTCAACATCATAGAAACAATTTTATACCTTTAATTCTCCAATAACAACTATTTTATACCCTCTCAACACCTTAATAATAATTGTATATCCTTACCAATGCTTCTTAAGACTTTGATACCCTTTCCAACATCCTTGTAACGATTTTATCCCTTTCTCTTTACCCCTTACTGATTTGATATCCTTCTCAACACTGTAGTAACGATGTAATGCCCTTCTTAAACACCTAGAGACGGTATATTGACCGTCTCAATACCCTATATATAACCATTATATACCCTTATCAATACTTTTTAATTATCTGATACCCTTTTCTATACTTTAATTAGTTTTTTATAATTTTCTCAATACCATAGTAACGATTTTATACACTTCTCAATATATAGTAACGATTTTATACTCTTTTTATTACCCCATATCGATTTGATCCCAATCTCAACACCCTAGTAACGATTTTATACCCTTTTCAACATCATAGAAACAATTTTATACCTTTAATTCTCCAATAACAACTATTTTATACCCTCTCAACACCTTAATAATAATTGTATATCCTTACCAATGCTTCTTAAGACTTTGATACCCTTTTCAACGCCCTTGTAACGATTGTATACCCTTCTCATTGCCCCTTACTGATTTGATATCCTTCTCAATACTATAGTAACGATTTTATACCCTTTTTACTTTCCTATCTGTATAAGGAAAGTATAGGAATCATGATTTTTTCGACGGATTTTTACGTTTTGAGGTCACCTGAATCCGTTTTGACTATTTTCGCGATGATGTCTGTGTGTCTGTATCCACCATAAATCATGAACCGATACACAGAAAAACACTAAATTTTAAACTTAAGCTTTATTCCAGTGTCCAATGAACTGATTAGATTTTGGGCAGAGTCGAAACATCTGGGGGGGTACTTTATAGGTGGTCATTTTTATATTTTATGGAATATATCTGTTATTTACGTTTGGAGAAGAAAATTCCTCAAATAAAAGTTACTTTTAATATTATTATCTATAATTTTTGTGCTATACAAAATTTTCGTAAAATGGTCTGTATTCGAGAAATTTGACAAAATGTAAAAAAAATAATTTTTTATAAAAATTGTTCAAATAAAAGTTGTTTGTAATATAATTCTCTATAATTTTTATCTTATACATAATTTCTCTAAAATGGACCGTATTCGAAATATTTGAGAAAATGTGTAAATTTCGAATTTTGAAGAAAACTCAAAAACGGATAAAGAAGAAAACATTAAATTTTAAACTTAAATTTTATTTCGGCCTGACGTGAAATGATAAGATTTTGGACAAAGTCGGAACATCTGGGATGGGGGGGGGGGGGGGTACTTTATGGGAGGCCATTTTTATATTTTATGAAATATAACTGTTATTTATGTTTGGAGAAGAAAATTGTTCAAATAAAAGTTACTTCTAATATTATTATCTATAATTTTTTCTTTATGTCAAAATTTCCTGAAAAGGTCCGTATTCCAGAAATTTGACAAAATGTGCAAAATTCTGATTTTTATGAAAATTGTTGAACTAAAAGTTGTTTGCGATATCGATCTCTAAAATTTTTGTTTATACATGATTTTTCTAAAATGGACCGTAATGGAAAAATTGTAGGAAAAGTTCTAAATTTAAATTTTTCAGTATTTTCATTTTCAATGAATATCTATAGAAAAATGTTTCGAGGTAGATGTATGTGGAAATATATATATTTAGTTTATCCTCTAAACATTTATAGAGGTGCTACAATAGATTGTACAAAATAACCGGAAAAAGCCTATAATAACTAAATAGGAAAGTCATGTGTTGGACACACATTTTTAATATTCTAGTAATGATTTTATATCTTTCTCAATACCCATAACAATTTGATCCCTTTTTCTTGGGACTGTTTTTATACCCTTCTCAATACTTCTTAATGATTTAATACCTTCTTCAATACCCAAACTATTTTATATGCCTTTGATATGCTTCTCAATATCCTAGTAATGATTTAATCATTTTCTCAATACACCTTAACAATTTGATACCCTTTTCATATCATTGAAAAAAAAAAGCAATATACTTCCAATGTTTATTTTACATATTTACAAAACTATCCAAGTCTTTAAATACATTTTTTGATCTAGATAACCAACAACAAACCTTAAAAAAAAAAACAAAATGAAACTTACACTAAACCGCTAATAATAATAATAATAATAATAATAATAATAAAAAAAACAACTTTGTACAAAAATTGTATAATTCCATCTAAATTCTATTTCTTAAACTCCCACAATTTGATATCCCCGTCATCGCTGCACGACGCCAACAAACCCGGTACTTCAGGGTTCCACGTAACGCAATTCACATCCTGGTTGTGCCCCTTTTCTTTGGTAACCATACTGAAAGTGGGAGCGTCCGAATCAGAACCGGCGTCCTCTTTGAACACCCTGATGCAGTCATCGCCGCAAGCGGTTGCTATTAAACCAGTGGAATGGCACCAACTTATATCATATATTGTCCTGTCATGGTACCCATCTAAAGTGCAGATGCATTTCCACGTGGGGCCGCCGTTCCCAGGCGGGAATCCTGTTGGGTATTCCTTCCATATTTTTACAGTGCAGTCATCACTGCAGGAAGCCAGGCGAGTGCCTGTGGAATCGTAGCTGATGCTCCATACAGTCGAAGTGTGGCCTTTTAGGGTTTCATAGCAAATCCATTCGAATTCACTAGGTTCATCTTTGTATAGTTTGATGGTGTCATCATAGGAACAGGATGCCAAAAAGTTGTCGCTAGGGTGAAAAACTACCTTAAAAAACAAATGTATAATTTTTCTTTATGGTGTACCTACTGACATTCAGATATTAAACATGGCATTATATAAATAAGGGTGATTAAATGGAACTTTGGCCTTTACCCACAAGAATACTCTCCCTAGTTCTGAGATTTTTTTATATCAAATGATTCGATAGCAATACATAATGGCACCAAACTTGAATAGAAAAAATGAGAACAGTTTTCTTTACAATATATTTTAAATTTCTGAATTAAATTTTTGGTTTAAAATCTGAGCGGAGGGGATGTAGCGTAAATAATGAAATTATTATTACCTTTTTAACATCTTGGGTATGAGAATTGATCACAGAAGTGCAATCGTACTCGTCCTCATCATTAACTTCCCAAACCCATACAGACTTGTCTCTGCTGCACGTAGCTAAAAACAGTCCCGAGCTAGACCAAGCTACGCTTTTAACTTCGTTATCGTGGCCTTCTAAAGTGGCATTACACTCGAACTCGCCACATTTTTTATCCCAAATGCACGTAGTCGCATCGAAGCTGGCGGAGGCTAAATAATTACCAGATGGGGACCAGGCAATCTGTCTTATCGTGCGTTTGTGACCGTCTGTTAGAACCACTTTGTTTATCCATTTGCCTCTGAGGTCTTTGGTCCATATCCTGATCGATTTATCTTCACCGCAAGAGGCTAGTGCTGTGCCCTTGGGGTGCCAACTGACGTTCCATATTCTGCCAGAATCGGTTTTTAGTGATTGGACTAATTCTAATTTACCCATTTTGCGAGATTTGACGAAAATATTGTATTGTAGAAAAGAAAATGTTTTTATAACCCTAACCCTACTAATTATAATTTGGCAATTTTGACATTGACCAGTGTTGCCAGAATAGTTTTTGTTAGATACTAGATTTGTATAATAACGGTACTAGATTTCATAAAACATGAGCTACAGATTGAATTGAATTACCCGTCTGTGATAAAGTACTAGATTTTGCTTCAAGTGAAAAGTGAACTAATATAAGGTTTGTTCTGGTTTTCAAAATGAAAACTGTTTTGAAACTGCGCCGGACCGTATTCGTAAAGGCAAAAAATCCCCGACTGTTTGAAATTCTTGGAAAACCAGAACACGTCATAAAGGTGTTTTGTTTATTGTTTATTATAATAATGAAGTTCCTTTTGAAAGCTCAGCTTCAAATAACATTTGCATGTATATGTTTATCATTATCATCACATTTCAATGGAATAAATAAAAACAGAATATTAAAAAATTAATAATTCTAAAATTGCTTTAATTTACAAATAAAACAAGAACAAGAGACATTCGTCCACATATAAATAAACAATTTGGGATTGTATACGTTTCGTATGGTCTAAAAAGCCAATACAATATTCATAACACTTCAATAACGCATGCGCGGTCAAAACAGTCCGAGTCGATCCACACTCCCAAGCATGAACACTTTTTGACTGTTTACAACAATCACGGGTTATTTCGGATACGAAACCAGAACACTGGACTGAGAGATCCGAAGTAGTCCCAGAAAAACCAGAACACATTTTATCTACTGCGCATGAGCCCGACAATTGTGGATCGTTATTTCTCAAAACCAGAACAGACCTATAATTATCATCCTTAACAATTAGGCATTCCAAACTGAATGACTACCAGTGGGTTTTGACAGGTTATGATGTGGCAAAGTTATGGCAACTCTGTTGACCTGGTGATTTGACAAGGTGAGTGAAATAGATAGTTACATAGATTGATCATCCTTATTTTTTAAAATAAACATAAGCTTATGCCTTGAAGTAAAAATATAAACAATTATTATTTTTTAAATATCTAAAGTCTGAAAATTGGTTTTAAAACACATTTTTGCTAAAATGATTCAAATTAATAAATATTTGCCAGGCAATATGGCTGCTCGCAAACGACCAGCTTTGAGCAATGTATATAACATATATGTATCATTGACCCTGTTAATGACAACATGAAAACAGGGTTGCCATATCTAAACTGTCAGTACCCACTGGTAGCCATTTGGACAGGTCGTTGGAATGCCTAATTAGGCTATTTTCAAAATATGGGAGAACTCATTATTTCAAGATTCTCATCAGAAATGTCATATGTCAATGTGGAAACGCTGTTTTTAAAGGCCTCGAGGATTAAAATTCCTAGGAGAATTTTAATTATCTCTAAATAAACCGAGAGAAACAGTCAATAAGTTCACACTGGCCTTAAGAGCACTAAATATACTGTTTTACGTTGACGTAAGACATTTCTCTTGAGAGAAAGTGAACTCTCTCAAGATTTTAACGAGAAATGTTATACATCAACGTAAGAACAGTGTTTTAAAAGCCAATATAAGCTTACTATAGAACATACAAAATCAAAAATTCAAATTCCGTTTAGAAATCCCCAAACTTAAAATAAATTTGACATATGAGATTCAATATTAGGGTTACCACAATCACAGAACACTTACCACAATACTGTAACCAAAAGTATGTTGTAGTAAGCTTATAAAGAAATGCCTTATTAGGCATTCCAAACTGAATAGGTGTCTTTTCCTTTGCATCGACAGTGTAGCACTGAGCTACGACACTTCTGAAAATATTGTTCCATCTATACAATTTTTATAAATGGAACGATATTTTCAGAAGTGGTGTAGCTCAGTGCTACACTTTCGATGCAAAGGAAAAGACCTAATGGCTACCAGTGGGTTCTGACCAATGAACTGGAGTGGGGTAGAATGCTTGTCAATAGGCTTTACATGCGACTCTATGGGCAAAGACAGGTTATTTTTCATCTCACTCGGGAGTATTTATAACAACCATTTTCTATTTCACTTTGTTATTGTCTGATCCACCAGCATGTGGATTGAACAATAACAAAGTGAAACAGAAAATGGTTATTATAAATACTCCCGAGTGAGATGAGAAATAAAAAATGGCTGCGCCCATAGAGTCGCATATTGTTCTTTTGATACAATATGCACATTGGCTTTCTACCCCACTCCAGGGGTGCTATTTTCAAACTCGAGAGAATTCATTTCTCTCAAGAGAAATGTCATACGTCAACGTAAAACCGTATTTTTAGGGCTCTTAGGGCCAGTGTAAACTAACTGACTGTTTCTCTCGGTTTATTTAGGGAGAATTAAAATCTTCCTAAGAATTTTAATCCTCGATGCCTTTAAAAACAACATTTCCACATTGACGTATGACATTTCTGATGAAAATCTTGAGAGAAATGAGTGCTCCCATACTTTTGCCGCGTTTGAGAATCCACATCGGATGCATCTGAGATGTAAAAAATCTTTGATCACGTGACTCAGTATACGTAAATGTAATGGGACAGATGTGTCCGATGTGAATAAAAAAACGCTCGAGATGTAAAAAATGCATCCGATGTGGATTCTCAAACGCAGCATTTGAAAATAGCCCCCCAGTTCATTGGTTCTGACGGGTTATGATATGGCAACCCTGTAGGCCTGGTGATTTGACAAGGTCAATGATATAAATAGTTACATAGATTGATCATCCATATTTTTCAAAATAAACATAAGCTTATGCCTTGAAGTAAAAATGTAAGCAATTATTTTTTTTTAAATATCTAAAGGCTAAAAATTGGTTTTAAAACACATTTTTGCTAAACCGATTCAAATTAATAAATATTTGCCAGGCAATATGGTCGCTCGTAAACGACCAGCTTTGAGCAATCTATATAACTATATATGTATCATTGACCATGTTAATGACAACCATATCTAAACTGTCATTACCCACTGGTAGCCATTTGGACAGGTCGTTGGAATGCCTAAGTAGTTATTGAATTTATCGACACAAATGACGATTTTCTAAAAAAGTAACACAAAAACGGAGATTTTCACTGTCAAATATAGAGCGTTTCAAAATAAATATTAGGACTGACGTTTTTTTCCTGGACAAAGCTAATTTTGGATGTGTCGTTTTTGTACAAGGGTCATCAATAATTGTCCTAGACTTTATATGCCTCTCTTATGAGCCTAACAGGAATTAATCTCGTCGATATTTGTCAAAGGAAACTATTGATTACTTGAGAATCGGCGTTGCTATTTCATACCTACCATTGATTCAAGCGGTGTTGCTACATTATTCTACAAATTTCCCCAGATCTTGGGAAAATCGATGAAAATGTACTCGGTGTCTCCCTATCTAAATTTATATAGACAACGATCAAGTAATGAGCATATTTATCTTTATGCGATGCGGTGTTGCCAAATCTATTTCAATAATTTTCCCCAAATCTGGGGAAAAATCGATGAAAGTGTACTGAAGTGTCTCACACCTACCATTATACAGACAACGATCAGGCTAAATCAGCTAAAACTAGTTTCAAAGAATATCTAAAAGATGTGAAGAGCTACTCGTCTAGAACGAGAACTGCATAAAGATAAGTCAGAACAAGACAATAGCATTAAAACAAAAACAATTTATTATATTTTATTGTGTAAAAAACAATTTTAGTTACAAAATGTATACATATATGTATATATTAAATTATCTATTACAAAATATAAAAAAGTAATAAAATTTAAATTACATATTTTCATATATTTTTTAATTAAATTAATCATGAGCTTTTTATTTAGCAATATTACAATAATTGAGATTATATTTGGTAATAAAAAAACATACACAAAGTGATTAGAAATTACACCAATAAAAAACAACTTTGGTACTATTTATAATCACCTCGTATATTAAAACATAAATTACATTAATATGATAAACAGCACGAGAGTAAAAAAACGTATACGCATTGGTCTTTTTTGAAACAACTATTTAATTTTTCTTATCACAGAATTCTTATAACGAGAAATTTTTCTTTCTTTTTTTGGTAAAATAATACAATTAAGGGATCTCGAATCAGAACTAGCGGAAATTCGTAAAATAACGCAATTTTCGACATTTGATGTTTCACTTAACCTTAAAAGTTTAAATGATACATCAAATTTGTTGATTTACTTTTGATTTTCCTAAAGACTCTTTGTTAAATAATCGCACTTTTTCTAATGTTAATTTTTTGTTGATGAATTTCAAACTGACGAATTGTCAAATTTGTCAAACTTTGAGTTACCTCACAACAGTTAGTTTACTTGATAGGAGAACCCTAATATAAAATATTTCAGTGCTGGCATGCTGTCAACCCTTGATACATATTTTGACAAGAATGACAGATGGTTGGCTAATAAATTTTATAAAGTTAGCAACGTTGCCAAATCAATAAATTAAAAACCAACAAAATTTATATGAATTTAACTAGAAAAATAAATATACAACGTTACAATATTGACAGATGACAGATTTTACGTAACAAATTTGACAGATACGTCAAAATATGAGCCTCTATCAACACTTCAATACTTTTGATCCGAAAAGGTTAAAATTTTGGTTGCGTTATGGTTTCAATAAAAATAGCCTCATTTTTTTAAATATCGCACCAATTTTAACTAAAAATACTGACATACAAAAAAAAATTTAAAAATCGAGAATGTTAGTCAAACACCGATAATAAATTTTATAAAAACGCACTATGACCCTGTATACTTATAAACATAGAAATAAAACTCTTAAAAAAAAATAAAAAGCGGCGCAAAATTATTTCAACGATTCGATAAAATTTGAGGTCGATTTCGATGTGGCTTTCGTGTACGCCTTGTATATATCTTTGTTTCTTTGACAGTGTTTTCTAATGGAAGTCAGTCGTTTAGGATATAGATCGAACACGCCGATGTTTACGAGAAAATGTCCGTATTCGGTCGTTAAAATGTTTTTTATTTCGAGATCATCACTGAAAAATAAATAAGCACAAAATATTACAACTATAAAAATTGGCGCTCAACGTGGGGCTAACTTTAATTTTTTTTTGTTTTTTTTTTACTGATTTAGTTGCATACCTCGAACGTACAATATAGTAGAAAATTAAAAAAATATATTTTTTAATAATAATAATAATAATAATAATAATGCACTATATCTCTGTAATGATCAATTTTAGAAAAATAAGTTTGGATTAAAAAGATACGAAATTTGATGATATAAAAAAAGCATTTTACCATTTTCCCGCAGGATGTACAGTTTAAGAGATATCGTTGCAATCATAATAGTACTGACTGGTAAATGTATCAAAATTATCACTAAATTCCAACAAGAAACTAAATTGAATTTCAAAAAATAACGTGTCAGAATCTACAATCGGATCATCACGGGACAAAAACATCAAAATACTTTAACAAAAAATATCAATAAATATTAATAAACATAAATAAATATCAATGAATATCAATGAATACCAATGAATACCAATGAATATCAACGAATATCAATGAATATCAATGAATATCAATAAATATCAATATCAATAAAAAGTATTAAAAATCAGTAAAAATTAATAAAAACCAATAAATATCAAATCAATATCAATGAATATAAATGAATATCAATAAATATCAATAAATATCAATAAATATCAATAAATATCAATAAATATCAATAAATATCAATAAATATCAATAAATATCAATAAATATCAATAAATATCAATAAATATCAATAAATATCAATAAATATCAATAAATATCAATAAATATCAATAAATATCAATAAATATCAATAAATATCAATAAATATCAATAAATGTTAATAAATATCAATAAATATCATTATGGTTTCATTAAAAAAGGAACTCACCCGATATTTTCCTGTATCCTCTTCACGGTAATCATCAAAGAGCAATCTTTAGCGATTGCCGAAATCAAATAAGGAATAAAAGCCAAATCAGCCTCGCAATCAATCCTATTACAATTCCCCAATGTCATTATCATGCATTTCATGCACACATTCTCATTCGTCACTCTATCCAGCAACATGTTCACATAGTTCCAGTCTTCTAAGTTCTCTTTGTGTAACAATTTTTCGTAATAATCACAGCCCTCCGTGTCCAGCATTTGTATGGACAGTATTTTTTCTAAGACGCAGTTTTTCGGTAACGTGGTATTCGTGCCGGACGTTTGTATGATTTTGTTCCATTGACAGAACGTTTGTTCTTCGCAATGTTCCACGACATCTACGTTCATGAAGTTCGTGGTTAGAGATTTTCTCATCAGATGACAGAACTCGTCTAACAATCTAAAATAAATAGTAAAATTCAGGGATAAATTTGGATGGGGATGGAGTAAAGTAAAGTAACAACAAGTAAAAAATAGTTATTTATGCTTACTTGTCCAAGGATTCTTTGCTAGCGAAAATGCTTTGGACAACGTTCGAAAAACCTGCCTTCAAATTGTCTCCGTATACCAAATTTCCGTTTTTGAAAATGCGGAAATTGTTTTGAGGCACCTCTATCAAAGATTTTATGGCACGTACCATTCTAGCTTCGTTTCTAAAATTAACGATAACATATGAGATGCTGGTGATGAAAATAACGCTGAATAAATTATAAATTTATTAAACAGTCATGAAGCATATCATTGTCGTTCAAAACTTACCCTGAAAAAAGATCTTCTGGACAATATTTGCTAAGTACTTTAATCTTCTTCTTCTCTAACTAAAAGAGGTAGAAAGAAATAACAAATAAGTAATTTTGCAGGTAGAATTGTTTTTACAGAACAACCAAGATATATCTTAGCGAATTCATTACATAATTTTTTAATGTCTTAAAGCAAACTCAGTTTGTAATTTAACTTTATAAAAAAATTGTTGAAGATCAGATTCAGATTACAAGCTGAGGCCCCACGTTGGGCGCCTAATTTTTGTAACTTGTTTTGGCGTAATAAGGTTACATGCCACATCGTAAGTTTTGAGAAAATTGAGTTGTAAATATGTCAAATATGAATAATATGTGGCTTGTTAACAGATGTTTTGAGCTAAAATAGCAACTTCACGACAAATTGTGGGTTGCATCATTTTTACACCAAGAGCTTCAATTGAGATTTTTATGATTAAAATGTAACTTGCATAATACATATATCTTTGTAAATATAAACTTTATAAAAGAAAACTATTGAAATTGAAGATTTAAAAGCCTAAAAGAGTTTCTGACCATTTCAATCATGACATACAGTTTTCTTTCTATGATTTACCTTTAAGTATTGATGCATGCAAAACACGCAAGTTGGAAAATGTTTTTCGCTTAAGGGTCTCCAGCCCTGTTTGAGCTTGAGTTCAATAGCGTAAGTATCCTCGGCTACCTTGAAAGGCAAGTAATCATATTCGTTTTCGGGAATGAAAGCGAAATCATCAAATAGCGATGCCCTGCCATACTGCAGAATTTTATGCTTTCGAAATTCTATAAAAAATAGAAAAAATGGGTTTGGTTAAGAATCTAGATGCACTATAAAAGTACTAGTTTCATATATTGAATTTAAAAACGAAATTGCGGAAAACCAACAATTTTCAGGGGAAAAATTGAATCAAAGCTGCAAGATTTTTGTAATTTTCATACAGTGTTGCCAAGAGTTTCAGTTATAAACAAGATAAAATAAATGAATATCAAAACTGAAATATTCTTTAATTGTAGAATTGTTAAAAAAATTAGGAAAATGAAAATCTTTCTAAATTAATTAAGACGACTTATAATACATATTATAAAAATCACAAAATTGAATAAGATTGATTTAACGTAAAGATACATGTCTCAGTTTTATTGGAATTTAAAAATAATTCCTTGCTAACAAACCATTGTTTAGCTTCAGTCATAGAGTTTTTTGATAACAATGTCATATCATCTGCATGCATGGTAGTTAGTAATTCAGCATTATTGGAATTCATATATGAGGGAAGATCATTTCTGTATATTAAAATTAATAGAGGGACTAGTATAGATCCTTGTGGGCACCTCTTTTCATTATTAAAAGAGGTATTATCATATATATCTTGAGTTCTTTCTGATTTAATGTTTTGAATTATATCCAAGATGTCAAATTCAGTAAAAAGAGCAAAGAAAAGTGAATGATAAAGTTTTTGGTTATAACAAGTTTATTCAATATTTTTATTGAGGATGCTTTAGGTTAAACGGTAAAAATAGTGCTTTTTACTATAATACAAATATCTAATTTTTGTTATTTCAATAAACTATTGATCAAACTTTGAATTTTCGCCCATCTGGATGCTTCACCGGAACCCAATAATGAAATGAATAGGCAAATACCTTAATAAAAACTAAATTTGGAATTCACAAACGTTTAAATACCTTTAGAAACACAAAAAGAAAATAAATATTTAGATAACTTAAAAATCAAAATAAACAATTATAAATCAATTTTAGCAAAAAAATTACCTGGTCTGTATTTGCACAATTCATTCTCTAAACTCCTAACTTCCGCCTTACTTAAAACTATCTGGCAAGCCTCTGATGTGTATTTCCTTCCGACCAGCGGTCTCATAACGGTCGAATAGAACTGCAGATCTCTCAATTCCTCTGTAATACCTTTTCCATACAACCAGTCTAAAATATCGCTTATCCATTTCACCAGCCACCCTATTAACGATCTGGGACGGTTAGTTTTTCTTATTCTAAGTATCTTTCCTAATTGCGGCAGTGACAATACGACATTGCAGTTGCCTTCGCCTCTGTAAATCCAATTTGCAGGTATTTCAAATTGTTCAGAGGTCTCATTGTCGGTCGAGAGCATCTTTAAGTGAAATACAAATTGATGAGATAATAGATTAGATAATTACTAATATAGATCACTTTTTACTTTCACTTTGATATGCCACAGAATTACATAATTTTAACTACTTGCCTTGCAATGTAATTCGAAAAAAACTCGTTTATCAGGGTTATACGGCCTACGCCATTGAGATTCTGATAAACGATAATTTATTATTAATGTACAAAGTGCATAATTCACATTAATTATTCACATTTGCTATTACTGTGCTAAAACCGCTATACATGCCCACCTCAGCTGATAAATGTCTGCTTTTAAATTGTTTTGACACTTTTGACGTTTTTTTAGACATTTCCCATGACAAATTTCAATGTTGCCATATGTTCATCTGTCAAATAGACTTTTACAAGTTTTTAGGGTGAGATTACAGAACGTCTGCAACTTTGCAGATCTGCAAATATGGCGGCAACTTTGAAAATCTGCAAATATGACTGACTTACACATGCAAGTATCAAGTTTTCGTATTCCAAATTTGGGTTTAGTGTTGTTGGGGGTAATAAACCACAATAAATATTGCGAATTTGCAGATCTTTTTTGGAATACTTGCATTTGTAAGGACCGATTCCACCGTTGTGTTAAACGAAGTTTAAAATGACATTTTTACATTAACAACGTCATTTTAATCTCCGTTTAACACAACAGTGGAATCGACCCTTAGTCCGCCATATTTGCAGATCTGCAAAGTTGCAGACGTTCTGTAATCTCACCCTTAAACTTATAATTTTGTCAGGACTTGCAGCAGCCAAATTAAAAGAAAAAGTTGTTTTTTTTTTTGATCAATTTTAATTTAACTGCATTTAAATAATAAACATAGGGGTCTATTCTGTAACAATTCCTTTATATTTAACGGCATTTAAAAATATTTTCTTCTTTACTTCTGTCAATATTTACGGATCTTTGAAATACATTAGAGGACTATCTTATAAAAGAAATGACACGAATACGAAAATATTTTTAAAGGCCAACCATTGATATATAGTTGTATAGATTACTCATCCATATATAAATCGTACATCGAGAAGGGGGTCCTCTAAGAGGGGGTCTCATTGGGCGAAGTTGTCTCTTTATCTAATACATTGTTTATTAACGCACCATTTGTCTCCATTTTGAGCACTGAGTTGTAAACAAATCAATTATAGAACCAGTTTAGAAATTAGAATATTTATTGTTTTCTTGTCATTTTAAAATTGTTACAAATTCAAATGTACATTTTATATATAGTAAATATATATAGATAAAGGTGCAAATAGCACCCTTTGTACATAAGCCTACTTTATAAATTGTTTATTTCTACATTCAAGTGATTTTTCAAATATTTTTGTAAAAGTTACTATTAAAGAAATTGGCCTATAGTTATTTCCCAACAAATATTGAAGTTGTGGCAAGTTGTTGGCCCTTTAACGATGTGATGGCAAAGTAACTTGTAACGGTAAAATCGTTATGGTCTTTTTGAGATTTGTAACTGGGCTGTTGATGGATTTTGAACTGTTTCCCACATGCAACTGCAAAATCGTTATAGCTCTTTTGAAATTTGTAACTAACTGCCTTTTAACTTTAATTATTCGATGTGCCGTTGACAGCTTTTTAAATGTTTTCCATATGCAAGTGTAAAATTATTATGGCCCTTTTGATATTTGTAATTTATTCTCCTTTAACTATAATATTTTGATGGATCGTTTCAGTGGCTTTTTAACAGTTTCCACATGCAACTGTAACATTGTTATGATCCATTAAAAAATGTAAGTATATGCCTTTTAGTTTAAATTATGTGATGGCTTTTTACTTACAGTGGCTATATATCTTATGAACTTAAGATGATAGCAGAATAAAAAGTTAGATAATGAATGTACCCTGTGTGCTGTGTGACACCATTGAAAATGTAATTTTACTCCATTTAAGGATTTATGTACCTAATACAAAGTGTCTCATACAAGAGCAAGGACTGATTCCACCGTTGTGTTAAACGAAGTTTAAATTACTAAACGAAGAATAAAATGACATTTTTCATTAACAATTTCATTTTAATCTTCGTTTAGTAATTTAAACTTCGTTTAACACAATGGTGGAATTGGCCCTAAATAACATAGGTAAACTCATTAGATATTTGTTTCGGTAGATTTAAAGATCGTCTCTGTTTCATGTCGTTTTTCTTCAATTTTTTCTCTTTTTTTATTGTTTCCTATTATTTATTTTTTATTATTATTATTATTATTATTATTATTATTATTATTATTATTATTATTATTATTATTATTATTATTATTATTATTATTATTATTATTATTATTATTATTATTATTATTATTATTATTATTATTATTATTATTATTATTATTATTATTATTATTATTATTATTATTATTATTATTATTATTATTATTATTATTATTATTATTATTATTATTATTATTATTATTATTATTATTATTATTATTATTATTATTATTATTATTATTATTATTATTATTATTATTATTATTATTATTATTATTATTATTATTATTATTATTATTATTATTATTATTATTATTATTATTATTATTATTATTATTATTATTATTATTATTATTATTATTATTATTATTATTATTATTATTATTATTATTATTATTATTATTATTATTATTATTATTATTATTATTATTATTATTATTATTATTATTATTATTATTATTATTATTATTATTATTATTATTATTATTATTATTATTATTATTATTATTATTATTATTATTATTATTATTATTATTATTATTATTATTATTATTATTATTATTATTATTATTATTATTATTATTATTATTATTATTATTATTATTATTATTATTATTATTATTATTATTATTATTATTATTATTATTATTATTATTATTATTATTATTATTATTATTATTATTATTATTATTATTATTATTATTATTATTATTATTATTATTATTATTATTATTATTATTATTATTATTATTATTATTATTATTATTATTATTATTATTATTATTATTATTATTATTATTATTATTATTATTATTATTATTATTATTATTATTATTATTATTATTATTATTATTATTATTATTATTATTATTATTATTATTATTATTATTATTATTATTATTATTATTATTATTATTATTATTATTATTATTATTATTATTATTATTATTATTATTATTATTATTATTATTATTATTATTATTATTATTATTATTATTATTATTATTATTATTATTATTATTATTATTATTATTATTATTATTATTATTATTATTATTATTATTATTATTATTATTATTATTATTATTATTATTATTATTATTATTATTATATTTGACTATATGGAAATAACTTTACACAATAAACAAAAATGTTTTCAAAATACCTAACAGTAAAAATTAAGCTAATTCGTTTTTTACTTTCCTATCTGTATACAGATATAAGGAAAGTATAGGAATCATGATTTTTTTCGACCTCGAGTTTTCGACGGATTTTTACGTTTTGAGGTCCCCTGAATCCGTTTTGACTATTTTCGCGATGATGTCTGTGTGTGTGTGTGTGTGTGTGTCTGTGTGTCTGTGTGTCTGTGTGTCTGTGTGTGTGTGTGTCTGTATAACGCATAACTCATGAACCGATACACGGAAAAACACCAAATTTCAAACTTAAGCTTTGTTCCAGTGTCTAATGAGCTGATTAGATTTTGGGCAGAGTCGGAACATCTGGGGGGGTACTTTATAGGTGGTCATTTTTATATTTTATGGAATATATCTGTTATTTACGTTTGGGGAAGAAAATTTTTTAAATAAAAGTTACTTCTTATTTTATTATCTATAATTTTTGTTATTTACAAAATTTTCCTAAAATGGTCCGTATTCGAGAAATTTGACAAAATGTAAAAAAATATTTTTTTTTATAAAAATTGTTCAAACAAAAGTTGTTTGTAATATAATTCTCTATAATTTTTGTCCCATAGATAATTTCTCTAAAATAGACCGTATTCGAGATATTTGAGAAAATGTGTAAATTTCGAAATTTGAAGAAAACTCAAAAACGGATAAAGAAAAAATCAATAAATTTTAAACTTAAGTTTTATTTCGGCCTGACGTGAAATGATTAGATTTTGGACAAAGTCGGAACATCTGGGGGGGTACTTTATGGGAGGCCGTTTATATATTTTATGGAATATATCTGTTATTTATGTTTGGAGAAGAAAATTGTTCAAATAAAAGTTACTTTTAATATTATTATCTATAATTTTTGCCTTATGTAAAAATTTCCTGAAATGGTCCGTATTCGAGAAATTTGACAAAATGTGCAAAATTCTGATTTTTATGAAAATTGTTGAAATAAAAGTTGTTTGCGATATCGATCTCTATAATATTTGTTCATACATGATTTTTTTTAAATGGACCGTAATGGAAAAATTGTAGGAAAAGTGCTAAATTTAAATTTTTCAGTATTTTCATTTTCAATGAATATCTATAGAAAAATGTTTCGCGGTAGATGTATGTGGACAATGTATATATATATATTTAGTTTATCCTCTAAACATTTATAGAGATGCTGCAATAGGTTGTACACAATAAACGGAAAAAGCCTGTAATAACTAGATAGGAAAGTCATGTGTTGGACACATCAGATTTTTCTTCTAAATATTCCAATGTTGAAATTTTATTTTATAAGACATTTGAGCCAGAACGGTTCTGTCCAGGATTTAGTAATATTTAAATAATATCGGTGAGCAATCTATGAAAAAATATAGCATTGGTTTCAACATTGTCATCTGTCAATTTTTCCGTGACAGATACGTCAAAGTTGTCAAGTAGTTGCTCGTATTTTCTAAAAACTCGTGCTTCGTATTTAGAGATATTTTTGGTTTTATTTAATTACGTAATCGGCGATAACGACCAAAACATTATGAAAATAATTTTGTAAATTGATTACATCGCATTAATTATGATCATATAGCACCGTCGCAAAACAATCGAATATTGACTTTGATTTTTTAATGTCATAGATTGGTGAAGTTTGCCAAGTTTATTTTTACCTACAATTTTATACATTTGTGCGAAAAAACAGAGTTTTAGCATTGCTTTACTTGGTAAGATAATAAATTGCTTTTCTATCGTGTATACTGTGAATACGTTTGTTAATAGGGTGTGAAAACAGTGATAATTACATTTGGAGGATGCCTACAAACAACCAGGTTGAAATTTAGTGTTTTTAAATTATTGCATGTTTATATTTTATTGAGGGAATTTCCGTAAGAAATACATAAATTTGTCACTGCTATAGCAGCTTTGTTGAGTGTTTACACCTTTGTATATGTTATAAACTGAAACTGAATTTATGTCAATATACAAATTAATCAATATAGTATTTTGAATATTAAAATTTCTATTACATAGTTCAGAAGCTATCGATATTAATGTTTACCTTTTGATTTTATAATAAGGTATTTTTTTGGAAATAAACTTGTTTTAAATTTTAAGCTAAAAATAATGATAATACGTTTATCTGTTGTTAATTAACTGATAAAACTGCCAGAGTAGAGTTTATTCTTGACATATTTCAGAGTTCATTGCTTATTATTTATTTATTATGTGAAAATAGTAAATGTTTGAACCCAAATATTGTGGACGACATTCTTCTTTTATTTGATAATAACTTATTGCCTATAACTTCATTTTATGCATTTAATACCTTAATAACTTCTCTATTACAATGACTTATCTAATTCATTTATAGGTGGATGTAAATCGACCACCAAATTAACAGTTGTTAACGTTCAGGGAATATTGTGACAGTGGGGGTGTGGAATTAAGTAAATAAGATCTTAAATCAAGACAAAATGGCTTAAAAGTAGCCCTGGAAATACTAAGATTGTTTTTATGTCGATGTAACAGTTTTTAAAATGGTTTTCAATGCTTAAATAAATAATTTAGTTTCATTTGGTGAATAATAGAACAGTGTGGTCTGTGAAATTAAGCAAATAAGGGATGTAAAATCAAGTTAAAAAGGCTTTAAAGAAGCCCTGGAGATGCTAAGATTCCTCTTATATCCACGTAACACTTTTTAGCAAAGCTTTAATAAATAATTTAGTTTCATATAACACTTGGAGAATAATACGGAGGTGGGAAATTGAAATGAAGCAAATAAGATCTTAAATCAACTCAAAAAAGCTTTAAAGTAGCCAGGAAGATGCTGGGATTAATTATATGTCAGTGTAACAGTTTTTAATATTTTTGTCAATGTTTTAATACATAATTTAGTTTCATAAAACATTCAGATAAATTAAGCAGAAAAGAGACCTTATATCAAGTCAAACAGACTTTAAATTAGTCCTGGAGGTGCGAGGATTGCTTTTATGTTTTTTTACCAATTTGAAGTTTAGTATCTACAGTATTTACCAAATAAAAAAATGCTTTCCTTTGATAAGGCTTATGTAGAAGATGGTATAGAGTAGGATATACATGGAAGACATTCTTATATTGTAACTAGAAGAAGCATCTATGTATATTATTTTTGTGTAGTCTATCCCTGCCTACGTTTTACCACATTTTGTTGCTCACCACCTCAAATCCAACAGTTTTATTTTCTTTTTGTTTCAGTTCCTGTGAATGCATAGCAACTGCATGCTAAATATTGTAAATTGAAACAGACAGCACGCATGTCATGGCCGCTTATGTAAACCGCACCATATCTCTAATGTCGGGCGACGGGCCCCACAACAGGTCCCCCGTAACGGCGGTGCTGACGGAAAGGGGCAAGCGCATACCGCTAGATAATTCTCCTTTGCAGATTTTCGTCAAGGCCAAGAAGAAGATTAACGACATTTTCGGCGAAATTGAGGAGTACGTCAAGGATACGGTGGATTATATGCACGGTAAGTGGTGCAGTTGGTCCGATAAAAAAATGCCCCACGTTGGGCGCCAAAAATAGAACGTTCTACATGATTTTTTCCTATTTGCAGAAGTCGAAAAAGATGGAAAGATAGTAAACAGCGACCAAGTGAAAAACACGGAAGAATATGTAGGCAAAGTGCACAGCATCAGAGATGTATTGCAAAGGGATCACATGAAAGTCGCCTTTTTCGGACGAACGTCGAACGGAAAGAGTTCCGTTATAAACGCCATGTTGAGAGACAAAATCTTGCCGAGCGGTATCGGGCACACCACCAACTGTTTTCTACAAGTGAGTTTTGTATATATACTAAAAAACGTTCTAGTAAAAAAGTCGATATTATATTTCCAATAAGGATTTTATTCCAATTTGACTTGTTAATGTTATTTTTAGGTGGAAGGTTCACCATCTGATGAACCGTACTTAGTTTTGGAAGGTTCAGAGGAACATTGCGCCGTAGAATCGGTAGGACAACTGGCGCATGCGCTGTGCAAAGAGAAACTCAACGAATCCTCCTTGGTGAAGGTGTATTGGCCAAAAAACAGGTACCGTTTACAGTTTTGCCAAATCGAATTCGTTTTTCAGCAACTTTGAAGACAGATATATATTTTGTTGTTGTTTATTGCAGGTGTCTGTTGCTCAGAGATGACGTGGTGTTTGTGGATTCCCCCGGCGTTGATGTAACACCCAATTTGGACGAATGGATAGATAAACATTGTTTGGATGCTGACGTGTTTGTTTTAGTAGCTAATGCAGAATCTACCCTTATGGTTACGGTAAATTATTTTTTACTCAAAAAAGATTTAATTTTTATTCATTTGATGTTTTTTAGGAGAAAAACTTCTTTCATAAAGTGTCTACCAAGCTATCGAAACCGAATATATTTATTTTGAATAATAGATGGGACGCGTCTGCATCTGAACCGGAATTTTTAGACCAGGTGAGTTTTTTGTAGATATTTGATATTTTTTTTTAGTTTACACCTCAATATTATGCCTTGCATTGCTTATTAGTAATGCCTGATTTGTTTGGTTTATATTTTTATTTGTGCAAAAGCTTTGACACGCTTAGATTGTGTTTTTGTCAAAAAATGTGTTAAAGGGCGAATGAGAATCGATTTAAATGCCAGATTTGAAATTATAAGCCTGTCAAACGTAGGAATTTGTATGTCTAATGTAGCAGCTGAAATGCTATGTATTCCAATCTAAGATTTATTAATTTCGTAAGAAAATAAAAATCAGTCGTACGTAAATATCTTAGGAACCATTGGTTTTACAGAAAAAATAGCAAATATCTTTTTTATCCAGCATTAAATTTTCTATAATTTTTCTCATATACTTTGTTTTGATTGGCTTGGCCGTTTACGAGTTATGGTGCTTCAAACTAGTTTTTGCGAATTATTTCGGAAACTATCCCACGTATTTTAAAATGTCATAAAGCAATCTTGTAGAGCATTAAATTTTCTACAATTTTTAAGCCAGACGCGATTTTGAAATAGATTGTTTTTTCGCAATATCTCCTAAACTTTTCATCGTACAAAAAGAGTGTGGTTACCAATTTTGTTCAGCATTAGATTTTCTACAATTTTCACCATATACTTTGTTTCATTAGCTTTGTCGTTTACGAGTTAAGTCACTTCAAAGTAGTTTATGTGAATTATTTCGGAAACCATTCCACATATATTAAAATGTCGAAAAGCAATCTTGTAGAGCATTAAATTCTCTACAATTTTTAAACCAGACGCGATTTTGGAATAAATTGTTTTTTCGCAATATATCCTAAACTTTTCATCGTACAAAAAAGTGGTTATCAGTTTTGTTCAGTATTAAATTCTCTACAAGTTTTATTTAATTCTATTCTCCCACCACCACTGATTATTAAACTAATGACCGTTTTTTTAAATATCGAATATAGTTTTGATTCACACGGTGACTTTAACACATTATTTTGATCAAATCGATTATATATCGTATATTTATCAATATATTTCACTTTAAATTAATGAAATTTTTCTATATAAGCATTGCAATGAGCAGGAGGAGGTGAGTGAATTATTTTTAATTAATAAACTATCAAAAATTATAACGAAAAAAGAAAATATTACCGGCAGGATAAAAGTGCCCCACGTTGGGCGCCAAAAGACGTAATCTTAAAAAAGACGCGGTCTAACCTCTTTTGAATTACAATTACGCCACAAACAAGGTGCATGAGATTTACCATTCTATCCTGTAGGTCCGCAAGCAACACCAAGAACGCGCCGTAGACTTTCTAGTCAAAGAACTAAAAGTTTGCACCCCTAGAGAGGCCGAGGAGCGTATCTTCTTCATTTCGGCCAAAGAAGTCTTGCAGGCCAGGATGTCGGAAGGTAAACCGATCTCCGTACCGTTGACGGAAGGTTTCCAGACAAGATACTTCGAGTTTCAGGATTTCGAAAAGAAATTCGAGGAATGTATCTCCAAATCGGCCGTCAGGACCAAGTTCGAACAGCATTCGCAAAGGGGGAAGTACATAGCTAAGTAAGTAACGCAATTAAATCGGTTTACCCATGAACTATGTGTATTTTTTCTTCAGCGAACTCCGCGACATCTTGGAAGGAATCTATTCGGACGCGCTGAAATTGAAGGAGGAAAAATTGGCCGAACGAAAAGAACTCAACGACAAAATCAATTACACTGAACAGCAACTGATGGTGGTTACGCAAGAAATGAAGAAAAAAATACACAGTATGGTCGAGGACGTGGAACAAAGGTAAATATTACGGTTAAAATCATAAAATTGGCGCAGTCAGTAGGATAAACATTGTTTTTACAGGGTATCGAAAGCTCTCAGTGAAGAAATACGCCGCTTAAGCACTCTAGTCGACGAATTCAACCTGCCCTTCCACCCGGAACCACTGGTACTGAACGTTTACAAAAAGGAACTTCATTTGCACGTCGAGACGGGTTTGGGTTCGAATCTTCGAGCGAGATTATCGACCGCTCTAGCTCTTAATATGGAATCCAGTCAACGCGAGATGACCGAAAGGATGGAAGCGTTGGTGCCGCAGCACCACAAGATGGCCGGAAACGTTGTCATGCCCAGGAGGCAGCCGTTCGAGATTTTGTATAGGTTGAATTGCGATAATTTGTGCGCCGATTTTCATGAAGATTTAGAGTTTAGGTGAGTCTATGTAGTTATTTTAACGTTCTATCTTTTGTACCTTTTTCTACCTTTTTCAGTATCTTTGATTTGTAATCTATGATACATCACCTATGATTTGTCATCTATAATTTAACATCTATGATTTATCATCTATTATTTATCTATTTATCTATTATTTATCATTGTGATTTATTATCTACGATTTATCATATATAAAATTAATTATCTATAATTTATCATCTATGATTATTATCTACGATTTATCACCTATGATTTATCATGTACGATTTATTTTCTTTGATTTATCATCTATGATTTATTAGCTATGATTTATCATTTATGATTTATCACCTATAATTTATAATTTAACATATATGATTTATTATCTACGATTTATCATATACGATTAATTTACGATTTTTCATATACGATTTATCATCTAATGCTTATCATGTAAGGTTATCATTCAAGGTTTATCATCTATGATTTATCATCTACGATTTATCATCTACCATTTATCATATACGATTTATTATCTACGAATTATCATTTACGATTTATCATCCAAGGTTTATCATCTATGATTTATCATCTACGATTTATCATCTATGATTTGTCATCTATGGTTTATCATCTATGATTTATCAACTATGATTTATCATCTGCGATTTGTCATCTACGATTTATCCTCTACGATTTATCCTCTACGATTTATCATTTACGATTTATCTTCTACGATTTATCATTTACTATTCATCATCTACGATTTATCATTTAAAATTTATCATCTATGATTTATCATCTGAGTTATCATGTAAGGTTTATCGTCTATGATCTATCATCTAAGATTTATATTCTTTGATTTATCAGCTAACGATTTATCATCTGTGATATATCATCTATGATATATCATCTATGATATATCATCTATGATATATCATCTATGATATATCATCTATGATATATCATCTATGATATATCATCTATGATTCATCATCTATGATATATCATCTATGATTTATCATCTATGATTCATATCTGTGATTTATCATCTATGATTCATCATCTATGATTCATCATCTATGATTTATCATCTATAATTTATCTGATTTATCTATGATTTAATAAATATTTTCTCAAAATTTTAACCGTTTCTCAAAATCTCAACTTTATTTTTCTAAAGTTTATTTTCTGAAAATTTGGATTATCTTCTCATAATTTTAAAGGTTTTCTCATATTCGAAAATTTGACATTTTTTCTCAAAATTTTGAGTTTCTCAAAAAATTGACTGCTTTATCAAAATATTATCTTTAAGTTTCTTAAAATTTCGACTTTATTGACCATTACTCAAAAAGTCTACTTTGGTTTCTCAAAATTTTGAATTTCTCAAATTGCTTACTTTAATATTCTGAAAATTTTGACTTTATTAAAAATTTGGATTGTCTTCTCATTATTTTGAATGTTTTCTCATATTAAAAAATTGACTTATTTTCTCAAAATTTTGAGTTTTTCAAAAAAGTTACAGCTTTATTAAAATATTATCTTTAAGTTTCTTAAATTTCGCCTTTATTTTGACCATTACTCAAAAAATTTACTTTGGTTCCTCAAAATTTTGAATTTCTCAAGTGGATTGCTTTAATTTTCTGAAAATTTTGACTTTTCATCAAACTTTTACTCTATTACTCAAAAAATACGACCTTATTTTCCCAAAATTTTGACTTTCCAAAAATTTTGGGTTCATTTCTCTTAACAGTTTATTTTTTCAAAATTTTTCGTATAACTCAAAAATTTGACTTTGTTTTCTCAAAATTTTGTTTTTTAAATAATTTTGACTATTACTCAAATGTTTGTCTTCATATTCTCAAAATTTTGACTTTTTTATTTTGAGTTTAGTTTCTCAAAATGTGTTGACCATTTTATCATAATTCTGATTATTACTGAAAAATTTAACCTTTATTTCTCAAATTGTTGACATTTTCTTTCTTAAAATTTGGAGTAAATTTTCTCAAAATGGAATTTTTTTCTTAAAATTTTGACTTTTCTAAAAATATTCTTTATTCTCATATGTTGACTTTCCTTCTCAATTAATTGACTTTTTCTGTTTCTCTACATTTCCAGTTTATTTTTTCAAAATTTTAAACATTACTCAAAAATTTAACTTTATTTTCTCAAAATTTCGACTTTCTCAAATTATTGACTATTTTTCTGAAAATGTTGATTTTTTCTCTCAAAATTTGGTCGTATTAAAAAATTGTCTTCTATTTTCTTTCTCAAAATATTTACTTTATTTTTCTTAATATTTTGAGTTTATTTTCTTATAATTTTGGCTATTAGGTACTCAAATATTTTACTATTTTCTCAGAATTTTTCTTTTGTTTTTTTTTCTCAATTTCCCAAAATATTGACTTTATTTTTTCTAAAATTTCGAGATTTTTTTCAAAATATTGACTTTTTTCTCAAAGTATTGATTTAATTTTTCTGAAAATTTGAAGCTATTCTCAAAATTATACTTTTTTCATTGTTTTGTCACACATGTGTGAACTAAAATACCGAGTAGTTATTGTAAGAGATTCTAAATGGAATTTTTGCAACAATCTCTTTGATCAAAGTCACCGTTTAACAACCCACGATGTGCCGCGACACATTTACGTTCGTAATTTTAACATTACGCTCCGCCTTTTAGGTTCTCTTGGGGCTTAACGAGTCTCATCCAAAAATACGCAGGTAGCGGCGCCAATTTCCTAGCCCTTCGTGGCAAACGCGAAAGTCCCACTAATTCCCACGCTCCCTCCACCCCCACTGACATCGTAGACGGCCGATTAATCTACACCAGCGCCACCATCGACGATTGGTCGTTTCTATCACGACTGGCCATCATGGGAGCTTCTTCGCAGGGTACCATGGGTGGTCTAGTCGTCGCAGGATTCCTATTTAAAACCATCGGTTGGAGAATAGTAGCTGTGACCGGTAAGAATACAAATATCGAGTAAAAATCGATTGACTGATGATTAATTATCGATTTAGGTGCGATATACAGTTGTCTATACCTCTACGAACGACTGACGTGGACGAATAAGGCCAAAGAGAAGTCGTTTAAGAAACAGTACGTCCAGCACGCTTCCAAGAAACTACGAATGATTATCGACCTTACTTCGGCGAATTGCAGCCATCAAGTGCAACAGGAGCTCAGCGGGACTTTTGCCAGGTGAGTTTTACAGTCAATCGAGTCGTTTTTTATTTATTTTCAGTTACTCTAATTTATTTTCAGTTACTCTAATTTATTTCCTCTAAAAATAACTCAAAATTTTAATTTTTTTCAAAATTACTAAAAATTCTAACTTTATTTCTCAAAATTTTTACTTTTTTTACAAAATATTGATTATATCTCTCAATTTTTTGACTTTTTAAAAATCATTTTGTTACAAATACACAGATGCAGTTTATTTATCTTTGAAATAGGATGAGAAACGCGAAAAAACATTCATCACGTCAATTGTCAATTGACATTTGCGTAATAACTTTCACATTTCGTTGAGAGTGCGTTCGTTTGGATATGAACGTGTATTGTCGTTTTTAGATTGTGCCAGGTGGTGGACGACGCCACAACAGTCATGGATAAGCAACTAAAAGAATTGGAAGTCGAGGTTAGCAGTTTAGAAACGGCCGGTAGCAAGGCTAAGGTATTGAGAAACAAGGCTAACTATATAGCGCACGAATTGGAACTATTTGAAAAGGCGTATCTCAAATTGACTCACTAGAAAATAATTAGTTCGTGGGTATGTATTTGAAAATGGCGGCTGACTATAGCGAGGAATAATATAAAACGTAAAGAAAAAAAAAATATTTATTTATTTGTTTGCAATTCTATTTTGAAATCATTGAGAATAAGTTTTGTTCGAAACTTAAAACAAACCAGCCTAAAAATTATGTTTTTTGTGATTTAAAGTTTATATTTAAGATGATTATACCCAATTATATTATTATTACATTTTATTTGATTTTTGCAATGTTTTTTTATCTTTTTCGTTTTAATAGGTATTTAATAAAAAAACGTTAATTTTTTTTGGAAGTTATATAGAGTGATTCGTTTATTTTTAATTCATTGTAAATATAAAAAAAGATGCTAAAAGTGTGCCTGGAACGGAACATTTCTTGTTTTATAAAAAAAAAACGTATTTTGACAGATCATTGACATTTGACAGTTTTGACATATTTACCGAGTATTTGGAGCAAGGTCTGTCCGACGTTTATTGAATGGTAATTTTGTAATCAGATTGCTTTTTTCGCTATATCTCCTAAACTTTTCATCGTACAAAAAAAGTGGTCATCCATTTTATTCAGCATTACATTTTCTACAATTTTCCCAAATACTTTGTTTCATAGGCTTTGTCGTTTACGAGTTATGGTGCTTCAAAGTAGTTTTTGTGAATTATTTCGAAAACCATCCTACGTATATTGAAATGTCAAAAAGCAATCATGTAGAGCATTAAATTCTCTTCAGTTCTTTTACAAACGCTATTTTCATTCGATTGTTTTTCCATTTTTCTAAATTATTTTGTACGTATTTGGACAAATTCTTGACATTTGACAGTTTTGACATATATGAATGATACTGTAAATTTTTATTTAAATTTAATGATGTATATCCGCAGATTCTTGCAAAATAAAGTGAAGAATTGTTTATTAATAAAACAAACAATGGTATGACAGTTTAAAAATTCGTACATTGCAAAACTAGTTAATTATTTAAATCCGAATCTGTTATTTATCGTATTTGTTCCTAATTTTGATGTATTGGTTACGTAATTCTTGACAGTCCTATTTCTTCTTTTTGATTAATCCATGGACTTGGGAATTTAAATTTTTCTTCCTTTAATTATTTATCAGCTGTTCTTCTCAACATTTTGTAGGTCGTTTTTAGCGACCCGATCTAGAGAAGCTTGTCAAATGTCAATTTATCTTTCACGTTGGGCGCCAAAATTGTCATTAATTCTATCGTGTTTTAACATGCTTCTATTTAGAAGTGCGTGTCATTTTAACAACCCTGTCAAATGTCAAATTGTCTTTCAAAATTAGGTGCAGAAATTGTTATTAATTGATATTCTATTGTTTTTACATAAAGGCCAGTAAGCAGGTGAAATATTTAACATTAATTCTAACATTTTTTAAACTTCGGTCGAACTCAAATTCAAAACTATTAAAGTCTAAAATGAATTAATGGCGGTAATAAAACGAATATTTCTTTTTCAAATTATTAATTCCTATTTCTAAAGAAATTCCACATTTTTCGAAACTGTTAAGAGTTTCGTAGCAAAAGAGAGTCGTTATCACAAATCCTAAAAAAAAAAAAACAATACAGATCGATTTGACCAATTTTCAATCGAATATTTAGTGTTTAGAAAATTAGTGAATTAAAAATAGATTCATTACATCCCCTCCCGTAATTTCTTATAATGAAAAATTGGCTGGTATAAATTCGGTGTTTTTTTCGTACCAAAAAGTTTCAAGAATGTTAGTATCTACTCTACTTACTGGCCTAACATCATACATTGTTTTCTTCCATAATTTTGGTTAATTTCGATTTTGAAAGCTTGTACAGTGAATTGAAGATAAGCGTAATCAAATTAACAGCCACCCTATATTTCATCGGTCTATATACGTACTGTTTTTTCTTTCTTAAAGCTATGCCTTAACTTGTTGTTTTAACGTTGTACAAATTTGATTGTCTTATACAGTATGGTTACTACGAAACGGTTTCTACAATGTTGTTCCTGTTCGATTAGAGAGTGACAGTTCGATAGACAAAGCGGTCAACTTCGCGTCCTGACTTGACGTTAAAGTTGGCTGTTATTGTTTGTTCTTGTCGTTCTGACAGCGTATTTATTACTAATTGTATGTTTTTTTAAAACAAAAAGAGTTAAAAACAAAGAAAGTGTGGATGGACCTGGTTGATCGACCATCAGTAGATAATTATTAATATAATGTGAATTTCATGTAAATAAAACATTGTTTGTTTTTAAAACGTTTTTTATTTCATTAAAAAACAAAGGTACAAAAATAAAATAAGTACAATATTAAGTAGGTCATCGACCTTGAAGCGTAGGGTGATTCAGGTAATTAAGATCAAGTGATCCGGGTCAATAACCCTGAGGATCAAGTGACCCGATTTAAAAATAACGCATCTTAAAATTAAGTATTTGTGCCATATAACAATATTTATATATTTAATTTTGAAAAAGTGAAAATTTCGAGAAAAAAAGTCGAAGAAAAAAAATTCTTAAAATTTTGAATTTCTAAAAATTTGCACTTTTACTTTATTATTAAAAAATGTTTAATTTTTCAACATTTTGATCTTTTTTCTCAAGATAATGACTATTACTTAAAATTATAACTGTATTTCTCGAAATTTTGATTTTTTTATTGTAAATTTAATTTCCCAAAATTTTGATTTTGCTAAAGATTTAGACTTTTTTATATTTTAACTTTATTTCTCAAAATTTTATTGTGACTTCCTCAAAATTTCTTAAAATTTTAACTACTACTAAAAATTATAACTTTATTATATCTCAAAATTTAGATTTTTTTATATTTATTTTAACTTCTGTCTTAAATTTTTGACTCTTCTCAAAATTTTGATTTTACGACTAAAAAGTATAACTTTATTTCTTAAAAATTTACTGATTTTATTTTCTCAAAATTTTTAGTATTACTAAAAAATTACTATTCCTCAACATTTTGATTTTACTATAATTATAACTTTATTTCTCAAAATTTAGATATTTTATTGTGACTTTATTTTCTCAACATTTTTACTATTACTAAAATAATTTTACTAAAGTTTGACTTTTTATAATATTTTTAATTTAATTTATTAAAATTTTGAGTTTTTATTATGACTTATTTTCTCAAAATTTTGACTATTACTAAAAAAAATTACTATTCCTCCAAATTTTGACTTTACTACTAAAAACTATAACTTAATTTATCAAAATTTTGATAATTTATTGCGACTTTATTTTCTCCAAATTTTTACTGTTACTAAAAAAATAACTTTACTAAAGTTTGACTTTTTATCATTTTTTTAACTTTATTTCTTAAAATTTTGAAATTTTATTATTACTTATTTTCTCAAAATTTTTACTTTATTACCCAAAATTTTGATATTTTTTATTGTGACTTTATTTTCTCAAAATGTTAACAAAATTAATAACTATTTGTCAAAATTTGGAGTTTATTACTAAAAATTTTGATTTTTTTGATTATTTTCTAAAAATTTACACTTTTTTTCCTACTATTACTAAATATTTTAATTTTATTTTTAAAAATTTTAACTTTTTTCTCAAAATGTGGACTTTATTAATAAAAATTATAAATATTTATTAAAAGCAATTTTATTTCTCAAAATTTTGAGTTTTTACGACTTTTATTTATTTCAAAATTTTGATTTTTTTTATTGTGACTTTATTTTGACTTCGAAAATTATAAATATTTCGAAAAAGTAAGACTTATTCTAAAAATTTTGATTTTTTTTGTTACTTAATTTTCTCAAAATTTTTACTAGTACTAAAAAAATAACTACTAAAAGTTTGACTTTTTATAATTTTTTTAACTTTATTTCTTAAAATTTTGAATTTTAATTATGACTTATTGTCTCAAAATTTTGACTATTACTCAAAAATTTATTATTCCTCAAAATTTTGACTTTACTATTAAAAATTATAACTTTATCAAAATTTAGATATTTTATTGTGATTTTATTTTCTCAAAATGTTGACTTAACTAAAATTTATAACTACTTGTCAAAATTTGGACTTCTATTCCAGAAATATGGAGTTTATTACTAAAAATTTTGATTTTTTTGACTATTTTCTAAAAATTTATAACTATTTCTTAAAATTAGGATTTTTATTCTAAGGACTTTAATTATAAAAATTTGCACTCTTTTTTCTTACCATTACTAAAAATTTTAAATTTATTTCTCAAAATTTTGAGTTTTTTACGACTTTATTTTTCAAAATTTTGATTTTTTATTGTGATTTTTTTCTCAAAATTTTGGAAATATTAGACCTATTCTAAAAAAATTTTTTGTTACTTAATTTTCTCAAAATTTTGACTATTACTAAAATTTTTGACTTTATTACTCAAAATTTTAAGTTTTTTAAATAATTTTTCTTTGTGGTGGAGGGTACATGGACGAATACTGATTAAACTTTGTATATGTTTGTAATGTGCATTTTCCAATTTTACCACTTTAATTTGTTGGCTTCTTTGGACCATTTGTAAACGCCTCCACGTTTTTTAAACATGGCTTCATCGAATCCGGAAAATTGCAGTGCGTTTGACACACCAATGTCCAAAATGGACTTAGATGGTAGCTTCAAACCGGAAGTGCAGTCCAGAAAACGCATCTGTCAACAAGAAAGAAGTATTAAAAAGTAAGTATAAATGTTACAATGTAAAATTATTCTTTTTTTCTAATAATTTCAATCACATCTTGAAATTGCGGATAAAAATGCTGATTAGATATGCGTTTTGGTAACATATTAGTTGGTAACACTGTTAATGTCAGTTGTCAAAAGTGTTAAAACCACAGAACTGAAATTAGGAGAATGGATTTGATGTCAATTCTTGCTCAAAATTTACGTTCTGTTAAGGAGATTCAAAATTGAGGATTGAGTTTGCGCAGTGAGTATCTGTCAGACAAGTCAATTGTCATTTGTGAAAGTAATTTGAAAATAAATGTTAATTTTATTAATTTAAAAATAATTTTTGGGACGATTAACCGCGTATTGTACAACCCGCCGTTAATTTTTTCTGAAAACATTGTTATATATTTTTTTCAAATTATGACCTTGTTTGACACCTACTACGCAAACTCAAAAAACCTTCAATTTTATTCCCCTTGTAGGAACGTTTTTGTAAACTCTCAAATCCATTCTCCTAATTTCAGTTCTCTTTGCTTCAACTCTCTATTAGGCATTCCAAACAAATGAATTACCAGTGGGCAGGTTTGGTATATCTAAGGGTGGCGACATATGGTGTATTCTATCTACTTTACGTAAAATCATGAATAATGGATTACATTTAAATATTTTATGTCAAACACAATAAAAATAATATTTAAAAAACCCACCTATACATTTCTTCATAAATTGGCAGGCTTGGCGAGTACTACTTCGAATAAAAATAGCGTCCAAGTTGCAAGACTATGTCGCTACCCCCTTAAATATACAAGAATTTCCCACTGGCACCTTGTTTGACAGGTCGTTGGAATGCCTAATTAGTTGGCAACACTGTTAACGTTCGTTGTCATAAGTCAAAACTGTCAGAAGTTCTCCCTTCAGTACAATTTAACTTTTCCAATAAAATTTTGCACAAAAAAACGAAATACAGGTATGTTTCCAGTGTTTTTATTACACAGTATGTTCTACTTACATATTCGTCCAATATAAGGTAACTATTCTGCATCTTGGTGTTCGATTCTGGCACTAAACATTTCACATTTTTGTGTCGTTCCAAAAACGTGTTGAATATTTCTTCTGATATGTAAAAGCTTTCTGCGTTGCGTAAAGCTTCAGGTCCAACATTTTCTCCTTCTAATAACAAGCATTGAAATACTTTCCATCTAAAATCAAAGAAAAAAACGTTAATTATATTCACAATCAAAATGTCATCGTGCAACCCACAATGATGAGATAGATTGATTTCCAGAAATTTTTCCTACCTTATCGGATTCAATGTTAATATTTTCTCGCTCATATCTTCATCGTGATTGTACGTATTAACCACCGTATTAATTTTGAACAAAACGTCGTACTTTTCGCACCAATTTTTCACTTTCATCAATTGCTCTACGTGATTTTTGTCTCCTTGTCCTCTTCCAATGGCCTAAAAACATTAAGAGTATGACGTGTTTGATAGAAAATAACACAGGTAGGAAATAAGATTCATTACGAATTATTTAAAAAACGAATAATATTCATTATTAGACTTTGTAAAACAAATTGGTTGTCCCTTGTTATTAATGCGCTAGTTCAGTGATGATGTAATTATGGTTCCACTGACAAAGTGACAGTAGATTTTTTGAGTGCGTTTTGTTCGTTTTGTTTACCTAAATTATATCGTTTTTTTCACTTTTATAAATATATTCCTAAAGTAAGTAGATAGCATGTATCAAATATACAATCGTTTAGTTACCAATTACATACCTTTAAACTATTTTTTATGACCTGTAAACAATATTTTGAAATAAAATAAAAACAGTAAAAACGTATGTCAAATTTATTGATGTTTTTGTTAAAATTTTGGTTAGAATTAAATGTCAGTGGAACCAAAATGACATCACACTGAACTAGCGCATGGGCATGGAGGTAGAAGGTAGGGAGACGCTGTCACGTGGTCCAAGACGGGTTCACTTCCGCCATATTAGATTGACAAATACTTCAAACAGCTAATCGTGGTTTCAATGAACGGTTTTTCAATTTTTATGTTGTTTGCAAACTATATATTGTACATGTTAAAAATTAAACATTGGTTTCTTGTGCTAAACGTATTTTTAGCAACCTAATAGATATTTATATGAAGAAATGATCTGAAATAACATTCCACAACTAAATATACAACATAGTAAACAATGTGCAGGGTCGTATTTGAAATATTTATTGTGCTTTGAGTGAATGTGTTGTAACCATATTAGGGTTTTGTAAAGATGAATTAAAAATGAGAATTTGTTGCAGTTGGTGCAAAAATTAGATTTAAAATAATCATAAATATTCTCTTTGTTATCTTAAATTCTATAAATTTACTTCAGTTTCATTATAAAAAGCATTTGTCTTTAAAAAAATATGAAAGTATAGAAAATTCTTTAAATGACATGGATAAGTATATTTCTTCCAACACTCTACAGTTTTTACCAATGTATAAAATATCTCAAGACCACATAGAATTATTCTTTGGCTGCATTCGCTCACATGGAGGCCACAACAATAACCCCACCACCCGACAATTTCAGGCAGCTTATAAGAAAATATTAGTACATGTCGAAGTACGTGAAAGTTTTCGTGAAAATTGTATTCTGCTAGAAGAGCTCCGAATTTTAAAATGTCCCGTTCAACAAATTAACGAATCTTCAAGAAACTACAGGGCTCTTGGTTTATCAGAAAATTACTACAGTGTGCTAGATAATACTGAGCATGATCATGATTATTTACCAAACCCTACGCTATCGGAATTTACAAAATATATTGTAACGTATATTGCTGGCTATACTATATTCTCTTAAAAAAAGCTTATTTGTGAGGAATGCGTAAATTCTTTATGTGCAGACCAGAAAGACCTACAAATATTTTCATTTATAGACAAAAAAAATAAAAAGAGCCTACAGTATCCCTCTGTGGATGTGATAGACGTTTGTCAAAAAGAGAACTGTTAGTTCAAATTATCATCTTAATTCTGTAGACTCTATTGTATCTTCAGTGTTAAAGTCATTTATAAATAAAAATATATTTGCAAATTTGATAGCCCACGGTTTTGATCAGGATCCATTGGATAACCATAGAGTTCTGTTAATAAAAGCTTTAGTTACCAAATACACAAACATTAGGATGTGTTACCTTATTAAAAGTAAAATGTGATAGCATAAGACATCACAATAATAAAATTGTATTGTTTAAGGGTCAATAAACATAATTTTTATATTGGATATTGATTTTGCCGTAATATATTTTCTATTAATACCTTAACAACTGTTTGATTATTTTATGTTAAACCGTAAATGATAAACCGTGACATATAAAATGAAATGAGGAATTTTTATTTATTTTTTTTAACTATGTTACAGAAAGTCTCCTTTTACTTGCATTTTAATAATTTCTTAATACTTTTATTAAAACTGTCAATAATTATCCGTTTTATGACAATTAATTTATAACTTACAATTAATTAAAAAAGCAAATTAGGGTTTGAGTTGCATTACCAATAGTCCGGCCCTGGCAGAACGGCCATATTGGAATGACTGTCACCACGACTAAGTGATACCGTTTTGAATGTTTGGAAAAGATGCTCATAGCGTCTCCCTACCTTCTACCTCCATGCGCATGGGTTACGGGTTATGATATGGCAACCCTGTGGACCTTGTGATTTGACATTGTCAATAATATTGACAGATATATAGATTGATCATCCATGTTTTAAAAGCACATACTTTGATTACTATACGAGGCAAGAGAGAGGTCCGACCACATACTTTGATTTTTTTTTACTATACGGAGAATGGTCGCACTGCGCAGCTTTCTGAGTGCCTTTTAAAAGGAGATAGAAAACTCCGCCATTTTGAACCCTTATTACGTGTTGCCTACATCTTGGCGCAATATTTTTAATAGGTGCGTTTTAATCATCCGCTTCTGCTTCGGAATTGTCGGTTTTCTTGTTTTAATCTGACAGGTTAAAACGAATAAACCGACAATTCCGGAAGCAGAAGCGGATGATTATTTTGCTTGCTGCTGTCAGTGTCAGTGAATATTATTTTTGAAGTCACAGTTTATTGCTAAAGAATCAGTTAGCTCACTCGGACCAGTTGAAAGTTCCAAAATAACATCCACTCCAGGGATACAAATTCAGGATACGCAGAAGACTGCTGTTTTATTATAGACGGTTGTCATATATTGTATTATCCGAGTTGCACAGTGTATAAACTGAAACATTGAGATCAAAAGTGCCGACGCAGAGTGAGCGATCTGATTCTTTAGCTGTAAACTGTGTCACAGGGTTCAAAATGGCCGCGCCCTATGTTGGGCGTGTCGGACCTCTCTCTTGCCTCGTATAGTAATCAAAAGTCGTTTTCCAGTGTGAAATATTTTCGAACCATTATTTTAAACTTAATTCAAAATGACGTCACTAAACAGAACGCTGGAAATCGTAAGGTTCGAACCTATGACGTTGTAAAAATTGTTTTGTGTTGAAGTTTGAAGTTGAAATGGATTTGAAAATGAGTTAACACAACAGATTATTACTATTAAAAATTTTGTTATTAATAGTGATGATATTGAAAGTTTATGTTTAATTTTAAACAACATTAATACTCCTCATGTTAGAATACCGGATTATTATGAACAGTGGCTGCAGAACTATTTGGATACCGATTTTTATTCTTTATTTAGAATGAATAGAGATACATTTTACAGACTACTTCGGATCTCTCAGTCCAGTGTTCTGGTTTCGTATCCAATCCGTGATTGTTGTAAATAGTCAAAATGTGTTCATGCTTGGGAGTGTGGATCGACTCGGACTGTTTTGACCGCGCATGTGTTTTTTAAGTGTTATGAATATTGTATTGGCTTTTTAGACCATACGAAACGTATGCAATCCCAAATGCCCAAATTGTTTATTTATATGTGGACGAATGTCTCTTGTTCTTGTTTTATTTGTAAATTAAAGCAATTTTAGAATTATTATTTTTTTAATATTATTCTGTTTTTATTTATTCCATTGAAATGTGATGATAATGGTAAACATATACATGCAAATGATATTTGAAGTTGAGCTTTCAAAAGGAACTTCATTATTATAATAAACAATAAACAAAACACCTTTACGTGTTCTGGTTTCCAACAATTTCAAACAGTCGGGGATTTTTTGCCTTTACGCATACGGTCCGGCGCAGTTTCAAAACAGTTTTCATTTTGAGAACCAGAACAAACCTTTTAATAGAAATTACCGTACAAGTACGGTAATTACCGTACGATTGTCAACCCTGCCTCCATGCTGCGTCTAGTAAAGCACGGTTCAATTTTCAAGAACCTAATTTAAACCCGGTTCTTAATGACGTCACCGTTTCAACGCTGGAAAACATTCAGTTCCAAACATACGAAAAATTTTCAAACCAGAATACCGCTGGAAAACACCTAAAGTATGTGGGTCCGACACGCCCAACATAGGGCGCGGCCATTTTGAACCCTGTGACACAGTTTACAGCTAAAGAATCAGATCGCTCACTCTGCGTCGGCACTTTGGATCTCACTGTTTCAGTTTATACACTGTGCAACTCGGATAATACAATATATGACAACCGCCTATAATAAAACATCAGTCTTCTGCGTATCCTGAATTTGTATCCCTGGAGTGGATGTTATTTTTAACCGACTTCAAAAAAGGAGGAGGTTATATTTTTTTTTTATGTATGTTCAGCGATTATTCTTTAACACGGTGTCCGATTTTAATGTTTCTTTTTTTGTTAGAAAGGGGGTATTTCAGGGGTGGTCCCATATAAATTTAGTCAAAATCTAATAATTGGGTCCATGAGTAAATCCTCAAACTCTTCATTTTTTAACACGGTGTCCGATTTCATTAATTCTTTTTTCGTTAGAAAGGGGCTACATTAGGGGTGGTCCCATATAAATTTGGTCAAAATCTAATAATTGGATCCATGAGAAAATCCTCACTCTTCATTTTTTATGTATGTTTAGCGATAATGCTTTACCACCTTGTCCGATTTATACGATTCTTTTTTTGTTAGTAAAGGGGTACTTCAGGGGTGGTCCCATATAAATTTGGTTAAGATATGGTGATGGCATCTGCACGTTTTTGAAGTCGGTTTTTTAAATTTTTAATTTGTAATACTTGTGGAACTTTCAACTGGTCCGAGTGAGCTAACTGATTCTTTAGCAATAAACTGTGACTTCAAAAATAATATTCACTGACACTGACAGCAGCAAGCAAAATATCAGGTGCGTTTTAATCATCCGCTTCTGGTTCCGGAATTGTCGGTTTAGTCGTTTTAACATGTCAGAATAAAACAAGAAAACCGACAATTCCGAAGCAGAAGCGGATGATTAAAATGCACCTATTAAAAATATTGCGCCAAGATGTAGGCAACACATAATAAGGGTTCAAAATGGCGGAGTTTTCTATCTCCTTTTAAAAGGCACTCAGAAAGCTGCGCAGTGCGACCATTCTCCGTATAGTAAAAGAAAATCAAAGTATGTGTTTAAAAGTAAACAAGCTTTAAGCAATCTATATAACTATGTTGCCATATCATAACCTTCACCTACGGACAATATTTTGACAGGTCGTTGGAATGTCTAATTTGTCTTTTACTCAAAAAATGCGTACCAAAAAATTTTTTATAGGGTCTAATAGAAATTTCGCGAAATAATTTTATAAATTATGAATAGCTGCGTAGAGAATTTTGATAAATTACCTTTTATAATTATTTCCAGCTAATCTATTTAAAAATTGAAATAAGTACAGGTAGGACGAAAAATAAATAACATATTTTAAAGTTACCCTCTAAAAATCATATTGATCATTTCATTTAGAGGGTCGTATAAAAAATATACACTATAGAAATATTCTATAGAAAATTCGTCTTAGTGCCATATACGGCCATCATATCCACTCTTATTGGTCTCTAACTGTTAAAACCCCCAGCTACAAGTCAATTTCTTACCTTATTTGTATCCTCGTAAAAAGAATCGCAAGAAATGGCCAAAATATCGACGTACTCGCCATATTTTTGGAACCAGCTCTCCTTGATTAAAGACCCGTTCGAAACGATAGTCACGGACGGTAATTTTAATTCGGCTTTACAGAATTTCGCCATCTCGCCCAGATGCCTTCCACGCTCCGGCAAAAACGGTTCTCCGCCACTGAAATTTATCTTCTCCATACCTAAATAAGTTTAATTAAATAAGTCAGAAAGCAAAATTATTAAAAAGTTTGAAATTAAGTTAAGAAAAATAAAATACTCAAAGCCATGTGTCGTTTGTCTGTTACAAACTACTCCTTTGGCTAATACCCCACCAGGTATTGAATTACATCAAATAAAAAATAATTTGGTAGGTTCTTTATATGTTATTTTAATGACCAAACCCAATAAAAGGCCAACAATTATTAACCGACTAAAGCAGTGTCGGTTTCTCAAAATTTTGACTTATCAAAATTTTTACTTTATTACCCAAAATTTTGATATTTTTTATTGTGACTTCATTTTCTCAAAATGTTGATTTTAACTAAAATTTACTATTTGTCAAAATGTGGACTTCTATTCCAGAAATTTGGTGTTTATTACTAAAAATTTTAATTTTATTTCTCGAAATAACTTTTTCTCAAAATGTTGACTTTAGTACCAAAAATTATAAATATTTATTAAAAGCACTTTTATTTTAAAAATTTTAACTCTTAGTTTGACCTTTACTAACAATTTTAAATTTATTTCTCAAAATTTTGAGTTTTTACGACTTTATTTTTTCAAAATTTTGATTTTTTTATTGTCACTTTATTTTCTTAAAACCAATAAAAGACCAACAGTTATTAACGGACACCGCTTTAAAACCAAAAATAAAAACCACAGGAAGACACCCCAGTTGTACTTTAGGTACATTTTAAAATAAAAATTTACAATAGCAAAAAATAAAATACTAAAAACACTTAAAACAATGTCAAGATAAAATATATTTAAAAATAAATAAAACTAGTGAATAAATATTATTGAAGAATGCACAGAGCAGCGCCGACTTTCATTAAAATAACTTGTATGGATGATTCTACTAGCACCAAAAATCCCACCTTTGGTACACAAATATCTATTTTTATCTATAAATGACATTAAAAATTTATGAAAAATATATTTCTCATTTATAAAATTGTTATTAATGATAAAAAAATTCTTTTAGAACTGGCGCCCGAGCAACCCCTATTCTGTTTTCACCATCTTAGCGCCATACAGCCTTCCTGATTCACTGTAGGTGAACCAAAAGCCTGTCACCCCCCCTAAAAATATAAAAATCCAAAAATCCTCAAACACGTCTTTATTATTTGTGATGAGTAGCTATAATTCTAATTTTCAAGTTTTTAAGTCGACGCCGATGACACCAAATTAAAAAAAAAAACAATCGATATTTTTATACATACTTTCTACCCCCCTTGAAATGTGAAAACCCTGAAACACGTCATTATTTGTTTATGCTCAGTAGCTACCACTATGCCAAAATCATATCTGATCCCTTGCTCTGTGAAAACAAAACAAATCCATCCCTCGGGAACCGTACATTTTTCCAGGATAAAAAGTAGCCTATGTGCTATTTCAGACAATCTATCTTTGTGCCAAATTTGATCCAGATCCGTTCAGCCGTTCTGGCGTGATTGAGCAACAAACATCCATCCATACATCCAAACTTTTGTATTTATAAATTAGTAGGATTATAAAGGTAAGTTTTAACAAATTTATAGATTGGTCTATCCATTACAAATTAATTTGTTTATTCTTGGGGTAAGAAATGATAAAATCTAGTGCATATCATTTTTTTTTGTATAGGTGACAGATTCCATATAATTTTTTCCACATTTTAAAAATAAGTGTAAATTTGTCTTAATTATTTTGAACCCCCGTATATGGTAAAAAAAATTGAAATTTATCACTTCAAGTGGTAAGAATACCCATGTTTCTCTGCAACGTTCATCTATACCGCGTTCTCTACATAATGCCGTTTTTCCAGTTTGAATCGGACCAGTAATAACCGAGAAACACGCTTCGGTCCTTTTGGCATCGTACTGCGCATGATTTTTCTCTTCGACGTTCATCTATAACGCGTTCTTTGCATAGTGCCGTTTTTCCCGTTTGAATCGGATCAATAGTAGCCGAGAAATACGCTTAGGTCCTTTTGGCAATCACATGATTTTTCCGTTTGGCGTTAATGGAGATTTAATTCCCCCACTCCCCCGTTGGTGCCCAACAAGTTAGTTACTGATAAGATCCTCGACGTGTGACCTTGAAAGAGACAAAAATTGGCAGAATCAACTTTAGCGATTTCTTATGGGATTTAACATAACACTTGCAGCTCCTTTACTGCACTTTGTGCACAATCTCACCAGTGACGTAATGCGCGAATTCAATTTGGTTTACTTTTTACCATTCTCTAATGTTTTTACTTTTGTCAATAGGGAATTCAGTGTTGAGTGTCTAGTACAATTGTACTAAATCTAGTACATTTTCTAAGAATCTGGTACACTTTAAACAAAATCTAGTACCTTTTTGTTCATTAGCGTATTACCATTTGACGCGTATAAAATATGATGTGATCTTGCTTTCAAAACCTCTTTTTTCCTTAATTAATCAAACTACATCACAATTCATTCGAAAATCCACTAAACTGTAGCGGTATAGTTCAGTGCGAAAAAAATCTGGTACATTTTACAGAATTTAGTACATTTTTATGCAATCTAGTACATTTTTTAGATAAATATGGTACACAACAAAAATATATTCTGGCTCTGACAACACTAATAGGGATTGTTGTTCCATTTTAAATATACACTTCACTGCAGTAAACTTATAAAAATAGAGGTTAAGTATTCATTAATATTTTATTTCTACCATTTTCAAGATTATATTCATTTAAAGACTAAAAATAACTTTGTTACTAACCTTTAAAATATTTTTTTTACATTTAAAAAAAATCTATAATTTTATACCTACGTCAATGGAATACGAATTATGTCACATAAATATATAGCGTATTGTACACTGTAAAATGTGTCGAATTTCTATTGAACACCTTGTATATTAAAATTTAAATTAAATTTTGTACTTACCAGCATCCTTCAGCATCTTCAGTCCCATCTTGGCATCAACCAAATTTAGCATATAAGACGTTTTGGCCGTATGAAAACAAAATCCGCATTCATAATTGCATCTCCTTGTAAAATGATAATTTACGCTTTTAGGTATAATTTTTTTACACCCTGTATTAACATAGTCACTATCAAGCACAGCTATTTTTTTAAATTTACCAACGACATGTTTCCAAAAATCGATGAAACTCGCAGTGATCGCGATAATCAATTTTAAAACTTTACTAGACATCATTTTGTAGTATTTAAATTTAAACGGTTACTTGAATTTACACCTGCTAGTTGATTATTTAGAGTTTAGATCAAGAATAAAGAAAACTTGGCTATAAAGTTGTTTTATAAATATATATCAAGTGAATCCCGCAGATATTTATATATATAATTGTTTTTCTCCTTGGCATATAGAGAAAACAATCAGTGAGTGATTCCCACGAAATCTTCGTTTATACTTATGTGTTACATGGTGATTCGAGGTATTTTTAAAATTGCGTACGTGGTTAGAACGTGATGGAATTATTCCGTGGGAACATACGAGATTATAAAATACAGGGTGTAACAATATTTTGTTTAAAAATAGTTTCTTTATATTGAAAAAGATAAAAAATAAGAAAAGACCCAACATGATGATAATAACAATTTATTTATCAAAAAGAAAGTAAAATGTAGGTTATTTCAGGTTATTTAAGACGAGTTTCAATAATATATAATATTAAAAATAATATAATGGGATCAGATGAAAAAAAAAGTAATTTTTTTTGTGGAGAACTAATAAAAATTGCCTTTTTACATTATATATAATCTAATTTTTTTCTTAAACATTGGTTTATTGCTGGATTTTTTTATATTGTCCGGGATGGTATTATAAAATTTCACTGAAATATACGAGTGGCTCTTTGTCTTTAAGATATTTGATATAAGACATTGTCTATTGGCTTCATTATATAGATGTTGTGGAACCGTCCAAAACATTAGTGTCGTTGTTATACTTAACCATATGTATATTTAGGTGTAATACTGGTTGCATAATAGTAGATTGGGAAAGGCATAATCACCCCTACAATGATTCATGTGCAATAGCCAATTAGGTGTAATAATTTAAATATTGCGCCTAATAAAGTAGGAGGGGAACTTCCTTTTTTTGGTTAGAGCCGGAAGTTACAATAAAAGAGTCAAATTAATTAATTATTGTAATGTTAAATGTAATTGTTCGAGGTGAGGGGACGTCCATTCATTGCCTCAACAAACTCTAAAGTTATAAAAGTTGTTAATTGTAATATACAACAATCGAAAGGTATTTCATTATAAAATAAATACAGTAAAAAATAAAGTTGCAATTCGACTAAAACGTCTTCCCCTGACGAGAGTGTTGGAGTTGATTGGAGAAATCAATGAGAATTACCCAACAATATGTAGTTTAAAAATCTTTTTTGTATGGCCTTTAAAGGTTTTAGATGTACTTTTAGGGCTTAGGACCCCCCATGCTGTGATTGCATATCTTAAGTGGCTTTCAACAAGAGAAAAATACAATTTTTTAATTCCTTTAGGGGCAAGTTCAGTTCAGGGTTGATACGAACAGGCAGAACCACCCTCTATGTTTAGTTACACATCCATTTAACTAGAATCATTATCATTTACCATTGTTATGATTTATATAGTAGATATAGAACAATATGTCATTAAATTATATTGATAACAATACAATAATCTAGTTTACCTACAAGTTTTACAAATATTTTAAACAATAAATAAACAGATAGGCTCTAAATTAAATGATTTATATATATCACAATCCCCTTTTTGTAAATTGTGTGCAATTTAATTCGAAAGAAATCTTTTTTCGTGTTTCACTAATTGTCAGATACAAAAATGGTGTTTAAATGTTTTTTAATGTATATAACTGGTATTTAAATAATCGAGAGCGTTTTAAAAACTATTAATGCAGTAAATAGGATATTCAAAATAAGTGATATAACTGGCATTTCGAATTATTTTCTTAGGGTCGATTCCACCGTTGTGTTAAACGGAGATTAAAATGACCTTGGTAATGTAAAAATATCATTTTAAACTTCGTTTAACACAACGGTGGAATCGGTCCTTAATAAAACAAATATTGTGATTTTAATTTAATATTTTTACAGTTAAGACTTAATGTTTTTTAAATGTATACATCTTCAATCAAAAATAATATAGGCTAATACAAGTGTACTGGACGAGAGATAATTTTACACTTTACTCCAGTTTTTTGTAATGAAACCAGCAGTAAAATAGATATTTGTGTACCAAGGCTGTGGTTTGGCCAAATTAGACATTTGCGTCCAAGTCTAAGCGAGTTCTGGTTAAGTAGCTTTTACAGTCACCTAATAGGACTATGGCTATTTCCTCCCTATAATATATCACGTGATTTATATATTATGACTTTACTAGATATAACCGCCCTCACACCTTGCCCTGAGGGCATAATTAAGGGATTTAGGTTGTTTTTAGTCGGTAATTGTAAGTAAAAGTAGATTTGTCTTGTCTTAATTTGGTTTTGTACCCTGAAAAAGCTAGTAAAAAACAGGGTTGTCATTGGTTGTTGTTGGTGGTCCTGTATGCAGTATTTTTAAAATTCGCAGAGATTTAGAGCAGAATCAATGGATTAAAATGCTCTTTCGTATTTTTCTTTAGCCGTTTGAGCGTTATTTCAGAAACGTTAAGATATAGAGCAAAATGGCCTAGAACAGTTATATTGTTATAAACAACAATATCATACCCACTCAGCAGTCTGGCTTTCGCAAAAATCACAGTACTACTTCTGTATTATCAAATCTAACTGACAATATTATAAGCTCTATTTATCAAAAATTTGGTGTACTACTAATTACAATAGACTATTCCAAAGCCTTTGATTTAATTTACCACGACTTACTTTGTGCTAAACTGAAATACTATGGCTTAGATGACTGCAGTGCAGAGTCTGCATTATCATTTTTTAAGTCCTATCTATGGAAACGTAGTCAACGTGCATGCGTTGATGGTAGCTTTTCAAATTCTAAATTTATTGCCTCTGGGTGCCTCAAGAATCCATTTTGGGGCCCCTGCTATTCCTTATATATACTTCAGAGTTGCCAAAAGTTGTTAGAAATAATGCTGACGACACACAGATTGTTCATTGCTTTGAACCTACAGATATTCCAAATACCAATAACAATATAAATATGGAATAATAATAAAGCGTCTTTATTCATCAAGTTTTAGTATAAGTGCAAATATATACATATATAAGGTAGATGAAAAGGTGAAGTTCAGCTTGTGCTGATTTACAACTTAACCTGTAAATAACATTGAAATATAAATAATATAATAGAGAAAAAAAAAGTATAAAAAATAAACAGAATTTCAAAACCAAATTCGTTGCATTATATAATATATTTTTTTATGACCATTGCTTATTGAACAAAGTGTCTTTTAGGCGTTTCTTGAAAGTAGTAAATAAGACACTTGAGCACAAATTTTCGATTTTTCCTCAGATCTGGGGAAATTTGTAGATATGGCAACGTCGCATTACATGGAGTAGATGGCAAGTATTTTTACATTTCCCCAGACATCGAGCGCTTTTGTAGCCAAAAAAGCCACAGAAAAAGGCAACGTCGCAGAGTGTGAAGTTAGCTACGCATTCTTCTTCTTTTTTTAGGATACTGCTAGGGCTATTTTTCTTCTCATCGAGCGACAGAAAAGCCCAAGCGGCCCCAGAGCCATAGTTTAATAAATACAATAATATTATATTCGAGACAGAGCTCCCCACATGGATAGATATATTATTTTATAAATTAAATAAAGTTTACTTCGTCGTATAAAACTAGAATTACCTAAAAACGCCTTATGAACACGCGAAAGTATATAAATCACATACTTTGATTACTATACGAGGCAAGAGAGAGGTCCGACACGTCCAACATAGGGCGCGGCCATTTTGAACCCTGTGACACAGTTTACAGCTAAAGAATCAGATCGCTCACTCTGCTTCGGCACTTTTGATCTCAATGTTTCAGTTTATACACTGTGCAACTCGGATAATACAATATATGACAACCGCCTATAATAAAACAGCAGTCTTCTGCGTATCCTGAATTTGTATCCCTGGAGTGGATGTTATTTTGGAACTTTCAACTGGTCCGAATGAGTTAACTGATTCTTTAGCAATAAACTGTGACTTCAAAAATAATATTCACTGACACTGACAGCAGCAAGCAAAATATCAGGTGCGTTTTAATCATCCGCTTCTGCTTCCGGAATTGTCGGTTTAGTCGTTTTAACCTGTCAGATTAAAATAAGAAAACCGACAATTCCAAAGCAGAAGCGGATGATTAAAACGCACCTATTAAAAATATTGCGCCAAGATGTAGGCAACACGTAATAAGGGTTCAAAATGGCGGAGTTTTCTATCTCCTTTTAAAAGGCACTCGGAAAGCTCACATACTTAAATAGGTATACGGCGTAAAACCCTCTGCGCATCTTTACTGAGTGTTTAATAAAAGAAGATAGAAATGACCGCCATTTTTATATAAACAAACTGAAACTTATGCAACCAATTTATCTTTATCTGTCAAAAGTGTCAAATTTTAATATGTTTGTGAATTTGGTTAAATTTTTTTGTGTTATTTTAGAATATTTTGATTGTGGATATTATTTTCTAAGTATATAAACGTTTTATTTATTTTAACATTTGTGAATAGACTTTAATCCCAGTATATAAGTTCTCTATACTGGGCTTTATTCAAGATGTCTTGTAAGATCTTGCAAGAACATAAGAAGACTGTTGCCAATAGATTCAAATGTTACATTCCACAAGTAAGTAATAAGATTTAGCAAAAATAAAGGATATGAAAGAAGTGTCTTTTAGGGTTCCAAAACAAGCAGATCGTTCCTTATTGTGGTTATCTGCCATATAGAGATTGGACAAAATTTATTTTAAGTTGTTAGTACAATTCATTGCAGAATCAATAAGGACGACCCGTTCACTAAAAATTTGTAGCTTTTAGAAATTATACAAGAAGAAAGTAAATTGTTTAAAATAAAACAAATATGCAACCATCAATTTAATTTTAAAGTATCCTGGAAATTTTAATATTTTTAACTCCTCTACTACTTTTGTCATTTAAAATTAGTATTTAATCTATTATTTGTCGGCCTATTATTTATCAGCCTAACATGTATTTTTAAACATTAAAATATTTTTTTTGTTGTAGAATAAAAATTTAATTCAGATATAATATTGTATTATTTCTTTTAAAAAATCTGTACAAAATGATGTATTTAAAAGTGAAAAGACCTAGACATCTGCAACCAAGTTTTCA